TGTATATATATATATATATGTATATATATATATATATACATATATATATATATATATACATATATATATACACACACATATATATGGGTAATTTCCTTACAAAATACACAGATTTTGGTTATTTCCCAATCTATGCCCCTCATTTTTTTTGCAAACAGTATCCTAATTTAAAGAATACCTAAACTATCCCTAAAAAAAATTATTGTCATATTTTAGTGTATTATAGTGTTTTGGCCACCATAACAAAAATAATATAAAATTTATTTGAAAATACTATAAATGATATAAATAGATTCTTAACCACAATCAACCTAATTAAAGCCAAAAAAATACGTGATTGTAATGATCTATGAGCAATAATAACTAAAAGATAAAATATGATATCATTTACTGTATCTTTTAAGAACGTTTCGGTGTTTTTAGTACATCAATAAAATATTGTAAATGAACGAAATGAAAATACTGTAATAGTTGAAAACTAGTAAAAATATGAGAAGAAAATTTTGGCAAAAAAATTTTTTAAGGGTATTTTGGAAAATACCCCAAATATAAATATTCTATAGAAAAATCCATATGTATATTTATTTATTTAGTTTCCTCGCTTTAGTTATACAAATCATGTAGATTTTTTTGTCTCCAAAGTCAAATGAGATTCTGCATCTATTTAACCTTATCTACTTACACATAACAAATTATATTATTAATATTTAAAGCTTAATATATATTCCATAATGTTAATAATAAAACATAACCATTAAAAAGAAATCAATGAAAGGTGTTCCAAATAGTTGAAATTTGACATCTTTATCTGTTGTTTAATGCTACGTCGATTTTGATGGAATAATTTATCCATCAACTTATCGAATCCTAATAATTGATTTAAACTCTAGTTAGTAATAATAATTCATCGTTCCAAGTCTTTCTTCACACCTTATACGAAATTAAATCTGGAATCCATAAATGGTACTTGCCCAATCGAATACCATCTCCGCTTCCACTCGGGACGTCTTGAGCAACCTTCTATTTCTACCGAAGAAAAGAAGGGCGAGATGAAACACGCATTAGGTGCAAACGATGTCGCTGCCACCAAACCCCACCCACGCTGTTACCTTCCATCGATGCCAGGAGAGGTCAAATCCAAGACGTTTCCACTACCATCGTACACGGTCAAGTTTTCCAAACTTCATCTCTTCCACGTTTCGTCAACCTCTTCGCAGTTTTCATTAGCGATGAGCCACGTCAAAGTTGGGAAATCACACGTTCAGCCACTCAAATTGGTTCTCGGGTTGATAACAAATAATCTGTATTAAGACAAAAAAAAATATCAAAGCATAAGAAGTATAATTAGATGAGATAACACTCCATCATCCCATGAAACGAAGCTTTGTTAACTTGGAAACGTCTACGAGAAGTAACCTATCATCTTTGAGAGAGCCAGTAGTCGTGCATACTATAGATCAAGGTTTATCATATCGAAATATATCGTCCAGTGATATATATCGGTCCAACAGATTATCGGTACGCGGACCGTTCAATATTGTTACAGTGCTATAGTACTATACTATAGCACTGCTATAGTATAAAAAAAAATAAAAAATTATTCGGTATATCGGGGTGTACCGTTCGATACGGTACGCCCTGATGTACCGCCCGATACATTGGTACTGTATCATACTGAGTCTAAGTCGAAACGTCGATACGGTACGGTACAACGAATTTTGGTATAAATTAATAATAATACTTCTAACTTGTTACTTTAATAAAAATAAACATTGGATGCAGTGGAATAATACTACCATCATTTTCACATTATTTATTTATTTATTGTAGGATGATAAATATTTTACCGTCGATCTTCGCTATGAGATATACGTAGAACACTATCACATCCCACGGAGAAATTTGAGGAGTGCTTCAGCGTGTTGCCAAACCGAGTAGAGATAACGTGTCGCCGATTGCGCAGAGCCCGTATAACTCGGGCAACTTTCCAACTCCCCATCACGTGAGATGAGAACGCAAACTGGCAAACGGTTCTCCTTTTTATCTTGTCATCACAATCGATTGATGACCCGCAAAATCCAAGGTGGAGAAGAGGAGGAGGAGGAGGAAGTGAAACAGGATATGTATCTCGGGTTTGCACATAGATCTGCCACCACTTTTGTTGCGAATGTGAGCGGATCTCGATCCACCACGGCTGACTTGGGTATATTCCAGAGTTGTATAACCGTATTATTTCTCTTCTTGATCAGGCCCAAGTTGGGATCTTTCTTGGTTTCCGATAAGGGTACTTTCTGCAAGAGGTACAAGGAAAGATGAAGTTCTGCAAGAGGTACGAGGAGTACATTCAGGGGAGGCGGGAGAAGGAGCTGCCCGCCGTCGGGTTGAAGAAGCTGAAGAAGACTCTCAAGAGGTGCAGGAGAGAATTCCAGTCCCGGCATCTGCATCAAGATGGAGGAGAAGGAGATGGGAGCAAACACAATGGAAATTGTGCAGGTATTTTTTCGAATTAGATGGATTCTGTTGGGATTCTTGATTGTGCTGGTCTGTTTAATCCATCCCTTCCATTCGATCGTGAAATTAAACCTCGAAAAAGAACAAAAAGTACTTTTGAGATCGATCGGAAGAGAAGCAATCTTTAGTCGAGTGGTGCTGCCATCAAATCATACTTATTTTTATCGGCCTTTTGAGTTTTGCTGCTTCATCATGTCTGTTCATGGTGTTCTGAATCTCTTGGCTTGGATCCATGGTCAT